AAAAAAAAAAAAAAAGAATTGCCTTTATTCTAGAAATGTGCCTTAAGAATTCTAGTAACAGAATTGGCCAGGTGCAGTGGCTGCTGCCTGTAATCTCAGCACTTTGGGAGGCTAAGGTGGGAGAATCATTTGAGGTCAGGATTTCAAGACCATCCTAGGCAACATAGTAAGACCCCATCTCTACAAAAAACTTAAAATTGAACTGGACGTGGTGCGGTGGTGTGCACCTGTAGTCCTAGGTCTTAGGATGCTGCATTGGGAGGATTGCTGGAGCCCAGGAGTTTGAAGCTGCAGTGAGCTTTGATTGTGCCACTGCACTCTAGCCTGGGTGACAGAGTGAGACCCTGTCTCCAAAAAAATAAGATGAAATGAAAAAGAACAACAGATTTGTTTTATTATTTAGCACAGTCTACGTGCCAAGTCCAGTGCTAAGTATTCTGCAGGCTTTATCATGGAACTATCACAACACTTTTATGAATAGATTCAGATACTATCCTCATTCTTGCCAAGGTTACATGGCAGAGTCCTGAAGATTCTTAGTGTGCTTCTTGTAGTTCCCTAAGTTGAGGAGTTGGATGAGGGAAGGAAGTTTCTGCTGTGCCTGCCACATGCCTCAGCCCTCCTTCTTCCTCCTCAGGGCTGCAGGTGGAATTCATCAACCCCATCTTTGAGTTTTCCAGAGCCATGAATGAGCTGCAACTCAATGACGCAGAGTTTGCTTTGCTCATTGCCATCAGCATCTTCTCTGCAGGTGTGGAGGAGGGGCAAGAGGAAAGCAAGCAAGGACTTGCACTGAGGGGTGGGAGGGCTCTTCCTGTGTTATTTTGGGATAGGAGAGGTTGGGTGGGGCATGTCCCTCTTTCTTGGTTGTGATTTGGGGTATGGAACTAAGACCCTGGCAAGACCTGCTCCTCAACTCTGTTGGTGACCTACAGACCGGCCCAACGTGCAGGACCAGCTCCAGGTAGAGAGGCTGCAACACACATACGTGGAGGCCTTGCATGCCTACGTCTCCATCCACCACCCCCATGTGAGTTTCCCCATAGTGCCCACGCTCCTCCTCCAATAGGCCCATTCCCTGACACCTACCACCTACTTTCCCTTTAATAATCCCTCTCTGACTACATCATGCACAAATGAGATTCTCCACCCTTCCCACAACTTCCCTGCCATGTCATTCCCTGGGGAGAGGCAAAAGCTGCACTTGTCCTTCTCCTTTCCCCAGGACCAACTGATGTTCCCACGGATGCTAATGAAACTGGTGAGCCTCCGGACCCTGAGCAGCGTCCACTCGGAGCAAGTGTTCGCACTTCGCCTGCAGGACAAAAAGCTCCCCCCTCTGCTCTCTGAGATCTGGGATGTGAACGAATGACTTCTGCCCCCATTTCTTCTGCCTCCGAGAATTGGAGCTGACTGAGAAGGGCAAACAAACATTCCTGGGAGCCCGGCAAGATCCTCACTTGGCATTAAAGGAGAGTCAAAGGGTTGAGAGTTTTGTGGCTGCGGGGCAGTGAGGAGCATGCTAACGCTGTGCTCCCTCTGAAGACTGTCCTGACCCCACCAAACCCTGAGCCTGGGGGCCACTTTGCACAAGCTTCTCCACCGCCCTGCCCATCCTGCCTCTACCACTTCCTGTTTTCCCCTCAAGGCCCCAAGAGAAATTCTCCACTGTCACTCTGTGGCTTGGCCATAAATGCCTCGGGGCTGCCTCACTGATAGTCTGGCGCTGTTTGCACAAGAAAGAAGACCAAAATGAACACAGAATGAGAGAAACCAATTTCTGGACTGGGGGTGGGGCACAGCAGGGCAGGAGGAAGCTTGCGTCCTTTAGGATCCGCCTCCAGACTCAGAGGAGGGGGACCTGTCACAAGAAACAGCGGGCCCGGGGCGCGGGGAGGCTCCCTTTACTAGTCCATCGCGCCGTAAATGAAACGCTGAGGCTTAGACGCCCCCCTCCTTCCCCGTTAGTGTTCCAGGTGGGATCGGGTCATATTTATGTGCCGGAGGAAGTGTTGGATTTTCAGGCTGCCTCGGCCGTGTACCTCACGTGCGTGTGTACAGTGCGTCGTTTTCCGGTTGACGTTTGAAAAAAGGGCACAACCTTAAAGACCCAGGGCCCAGTTTCGACTCCCAGGCCTCATGGGACAGGAAGGAAAGCTTTTTGAAGCCGCCGGCAGGCTGCCCTGTGGAGGGTTCGGCCTCTAGAAAGAACTGGACTCCATTTCCCAGCGGGCACCGCGGCACTGCTCACGCCCCTTTCCCGCGTGCGCGCCGGTATAGGTGATTCCGCGGCCTCGCCCTCCAGCCTGGAGCCCCTCTGCTGCCCTAGAATTGGTAGGCTCCACTGCCTGGGCAGCCGGCTTTCCAGCCCCGGAGGCCGGGCACTTCCAAGACGCGTGCGGGGGGAGGGAGGTGAGGTGTGGAGAAAGAATGAGAGCGCTCACGGCCACCTTATCCTGAGAAGTCGTTTGGGATTAATCGGTGTTTCGTCTAAATGGGCTCTATTACCGAGTCGGATTAAAATCTGTGGGAGGAACCTAAACAAAAGGTATTCCTTCGGGTCCTCCCCTTGGCACTCCGTGGCACTGGGCTGGCCCAGCGTGCCCCATCTCGTTCCCATTTCCACACGGATAGGTGTGTGCGTAGCCGCCTTTCTCCCGAGGTCTACTGCACCCTGCAGCGCTGGGCTTGGTGCAGCCCTGTTCCCGCAGGAGTGAATGGTACGGCCCGGGCCCCCCGCAGCCTAGCGTTTCCGCACGGTCCGAGTGGTACGCGCCCCCAGGTGCAGACGCGGAACTGACGCTCACCCGGAGCGGCGCCTAGCGCGGGAGTGACTGACGCTGCGCTACCGGGGGACGTCGGGCCGGGCCTGGCCGGTCCCCCGACTCTCGGGAGGTAGGACAATCCGGGCTGCTGGGGTCCGAGACTGGTATTTGGGTATTTTAGGGACTCCTAGAGGTGAGACGGGCTCTACAAGGAAACGGGGACTCTAGGAGGAAAGGGTCTCTGAAGAGGCCCTAAGTGAGTTAAAGGGCGTAGAGGGAGTGAGGCCTGGGTCGGAGAAGGGGGCGGGGTCAGTGGGAGCGCTCCGAGTCTCCTTTGGGGTGTAGGATGGAGGATCGGGCGCTGCTCAGGGCTGCTTGGTTCGATTTCCGCCGGGCGGGCGCCGCTGGTGCCGGGGCGGGGGCGGGGGAGAACTGTCCAGCAGGTGAGGGGGCGGACAGAGCCATCCTACCCTGGGCCCAAGTCTGCACAGCACTTGGCGTTGTGTTTGTGTGCGCCTCATTTTTGGTTATGATTTGAATAACCATGTTTGGCTTCTTAATAAAGATTATTTTTTAAAAATTTAACGTCTCAAATTGACTTGTTGGAGAGTGGAGACACCATTTAATAATCTTCTTGCAACCGCTCCTCTCCCCATCCTCGTGCATCTCTAAATTCTTCCTCCTTTTCCTGTCCTCTCCTCTCCTCGCCTCTTCCCCAAGCCTGCCAATTGCTTGCCTCATTGCTCCAGTTCACCCTCACGCTGGACCAGTTTGTGCTGATGAGCTTGCAAGGTCACTGCCTGGGGAAGGGAAGGAGGGAAGGAGAGCCTCCTGTTGTGCTCACATCAGCAAAGATGTCATATCTCTCTCTGGTTCCTACGGTTTTACTATGAGACCTGCCTAAAACGAGGGAGGGACAGACCCAAATGGCCATTGTAGGTTGAAAAGGCATGGGTAACTTAAAGGTTTGTGGATTCTGAATCTGTGTCTGGATGAAGTGGATAGTGATGTAGGATTTCAGTAGAGGTATGCCTTTGGAACGTAAGGAGATAGGAACGAGGGGCTTCACCTTAGTAAACAGGGTTGAGGCAAGAGGCAGAGTCTGAGCCTGGCTGGTTATGAAGAATGAGTGTGAGTTGTGGATGGTGTTGGAGGCTTTAGTCTTTGTGGGGAGGGAAGAGAGGAGAAAATAAGAAGGAAAATCTTGGTTATCTCTGCAATCTGAATAACTGAAGGCAGGGCCTGCTGATGAGATATGACTCTGTGCCTAAAAATCTATTCTACCACTTGTAGCTAGAATAGTCACAAGATCTCAGGGTCCTTGTGGCTGTGGGAGAAAAGGAGGACTGTGAATGACTTGGGTTTTATCAAGTAGTTTTCAGTGGAAAGGAGCTGAGACAGCATCAGGCAAAAGAGGCGCCATCCTAATACTATATTAGTAGGAGATACTTCAGTCTTGATCTTTGAAATTTTGGCTGGAAAGGGCTCCTGGTGTTCAGTGTAAACATAGATTTCAAAGCTTAGGCTAAAGGTCTGGTCCTGTAAATTCTGTTTTACTTTAACCTACTTTGGCTCTCACTGTGGACCTTTCTACATACTCCTTTTTTTCCTAATCCCATGACATTAACTTCATAATTTCTTGTAGAAGAAATTGTGGTGTCATTCATATTTCATCCACATCATTCCCTTATTCTGCTTAGGAGGAGCTGAGCTCAGTTTTATGCTGGTGCTCCACCTTCTGCAGTATGTTTATGGGTTTGTAGCAGGTGGGAGAAAGGACTGATGGTTTCATTAAGTAGTGGTGATTCTAGAACTGAATATATGGCATATTCAGGAACTTGGTTGTGAGGAGATATTGCTGTGAAAAGTTGGAGTTATACCTGGTCCGAAGGTAGTGAGTTATCTCAGTTGATTGTTGACAGTTAGTTACAGATTGAACTCCTTGTTCTTGTCTTACCCGCCCTTCTTACTACGGCACTTGACTAGTCTAAAAATATTAAATTCAACTAAAAAAATTTTTTTAAAGTCAGAATTAGGACAAAATGCAAACTAAAGACAGATGTGGGAGAAGATAGCCTAATTATCAGCAAGTGCTGTCAGTCAAAGAGGTGTCTCCAGACTCAAGGAGAGAGTGAATTGTTATGGTCCCTGGCTGACTCTGAGTAGCAGCTGCTAGCACTGAGCGGTCACCAAGCAGGGGAGGGGCTGTGGCTCTGCTATAAATAGTGCTGGGAGCCAGAGTCGCTATGGAGATAAAACTGAATCCTATTACCTGCAGGTCCTCTACTGGGAGCAAGGGAAAAAGGGGAGCAGTATTTTGAGGAGTTGAGAGGTGTTGCAAATGAGTCTTGTTTATTATTAGCCAGAGAGAAAAAAGATAGAACTTTACATTATCTAAATCAAAGAGGGCCTTAAGCACACAGGGAGTGTGTATGTGTGTATGTATGGGCATGCACACAGCAGCAGATGACGAATTGAGGAATGGGATTCTCTATGTGTACATTGAACAAGGTCTTAGTAAGGCCACATGCGGAGCACAGAGTGGAATCCTAGAACACTGGAAATAGTCCTGTAGTGGAGTGAAGCATTTTATTTACAGAAGTGTGTGGGGACCTAAGAGCAAAATAATTAAAATTAAGACCATGTAAACTTTTCCTAATTTTAGGACATGGTTTGGAAATTTATCTGAGCACCTCTCCTTATCCTGCATCTAATTCGTAACCTGTGTAATATATATGATAACAAGGCCAAATCTATATGTATTGTTACTGAGTCCTATCCTGAGACCAGAATACAAGAGAAAGACTATGATTCAGCACCAAGGGCAGAGCTAGTGGGTCTCTTGCTTGCTTGAAGGGGAACAAAAGTAGTTCATATGAGCAATTGGGGCATGGACATTCGTCATCTGAGATCGCGTGAGGTAGAATAGCCAATTGTTGTCTGAATGCAATTAACTAGACAGGCTATATGGTGGTTTCGCATTAAGCAGAATTCAGAATGTTGAAACAGAATTAATTAGGTTTCCATCTAGACCTATAAGTACAGATTAGTGCTAATTGAAAAGTTTAGTTTGGGCTCAGCGCCTGTGGCTCAATTGGCTAAGGCGCCAGCCACATATACCTAAGGTAGCAGGTTCGAATCCCCATCCCGGGCCCGCCAAACAACAATGATGGCTGCAACAAAAAAATGGCCAGCGCTGTGGCGGGCACCTGTAGTCCCAGCTACTTGGGAGGCTGAGGCAGGAGACTCTCTTGAGCCCAGGAGTTGGAGGTTGCTGTGAGCTGTGTGGCCATGGCACTCTACCCAGGGGGATAGCTTGAGGCTCCGTCTCAAAAAAAAAAAAAAAGAAAAGAAAAGTTTTGATCTTGATCCACCCTGTAGGGATCCTGAAAATGACTCGTTTTTGTTATCATAATGTCTGAGTCCGGATGAGACTGCCTAGGTCTGTTTTCAGAAAACAGAGGTTAGGCTGGAAATGAGCTACGGGTAGTTGGTAGAGATGGTGAGCCATTATTTATCCTACTTCTTTTTTTTTTTTTTTTTGAGACAGAATCTTATTTTGTTGCCCTCGGTAGAGTGCTGTGGTGTCACAGCTTACAGCAACCTCTAGCTCTTAGGCTTAGGCGATTCTCTTGCCTCAGCCTCCCGAGTAGTTGGGACTACAGGCGCCCACCACAACACCCGTCCATTTTGTTGTTGTTTGTCCAGGGCTGGTTTTGAACCTGCCCCACTCACTGAGCCACAGGCACTGCCCTATCTTACTTCTTTTTTTTTTTTTTTTTTTGCCAGAGCTGGGTTTGAACCTGCCGCTTTTGGTATATGGGTCCCGCGCCCTACTCCTTTGAGCCACAGGCGCCACCCTCTAACCTACTTCTTGACATTTGACTCTGTGAGCTCTTAAACCTAGATACTAGAACAAGCATGCATCATGTTTTCCTATCTTTAGTTCTAAAGTGGAAGGACTTTTGACCTGTGCCCCTGGCTGGGATAAAGTTGAGAGAGATGAGCCCCTTAGGCATGGCAGTGGATCTTATCGGTACTTTTTTCCTATTAGACTTGGATTTTCAGATAATATCAGAATTCCTCCTGGGACTGCTGACTCCTTGCTTGGTGCCCTGAAGTTGGCTCTGAGATGAACTGATGAATTGGAACCATGGTGCAAAAGAAGAAGTTCTGTCCTCGGTTACTTGACTATCTGGTGATCGTAGGGGCCAGGTAACCAAGAGGGGACTGATTTTTGTCTTGTGGGATAAAACCCAAATTATTTCCTTATGTCCATATTGCCTTGTTTATCTCATTCTTCCCCTATTATTTTATCCTGATGGGAGCACTATTGCCAGTAGGAAAAACGACATGGTCAGGTGGATTGAGAGTATTGGTTTGGGCAAAAATAGAGCAAATCTGTTCTTAATGGGCATCTTTGTGATTTTGAGCAAATATGCTCATTTTATTTACCCCAGGTTTCTTATTTTGTAAAAAGGAAAAGTACATTGTGTTCCTCTCTACCTACATATGCCCTTTTGGTAATTCATTATCTAATGCACCTTGCAAGGTGTTAATCATCTTAACGTGTTAGTGAGAATTTTGTTGTGGAAATTTTCCTTTCATTTCACGATAGGTATCTTCATGATAGTGCAGACTTCATTTAGCCTCCGCTAAATGTAGCAAGCGCCACAGATATTTTTCAAGGTCTTACTGTTAGGTTACTTTATCCAAAATCACATTTTGAGTTTTATTTGTTGACTGTGGTTAAAATTTGATAGTTCTATCACTTCAGGCTGCTGAAATTGTCTTTATGTTCTTCAGGCACCCGAGCAGTGATAGTGTGGCCCAGACTCCTGAATTACTACGGCGATACCCATTAGAGGATCATGCTGAGTTTCCCCTGCCCCCAGATGTGGTATTCTTCTGCCAGCCAGAGGGCTGTCTGAGTGTGCGGCAGCGGCGCATGAGCCTCCGGGATGATACCTCTTTTGTCTTTACCCTCACTGACAAGGACACAGGAGTCACACGTTATGGCATCTGTGTTAACTTCTATCGCTCTTTCCAAAAGCGAATACCTAAGGAAAAGGGGGAAGGTGGGGCAGGGTCCCGTGGGAAGGAAGGAACCCGTGTCACCTGTTCCTCAGAAGAGGTTGGCACTGAGAGCTCAGAGAGTGGCTCATCCCTGCAGCCTCCCAGTGCTGACTCTACCCCCGATGTGAACCAGTCTCCTCGGGGCAAACGCCGGGCCAAGGGGGGCAGCCGTTCCCGCAACAGTACTCTGACGTCCTTGTGTGTGCTCAGCCACTACCCCTTCTTTTCCACCTTCCGAGAGTGTCTGTATACCCTCAAACGTCTGGTGGACTGCTGTAGTGAGCGACTACTGGGCAAGAAACTGGGCATCCCTCGAGGCGTACAAAGGTACAGTTTGCCACTGATCTCAGAAATGAGGGGACGCATTTAAAGATTAGGTATAATTGTTCTGTGAGGGGTATAGGAGGTTTCCTTTATAGCCTGAGGTCCTTTAGACCTATTTAAGCATATTGTGTTAGTCTTTTTTTTTTTTTTTAATAGAGAGAGTCTCACTTTATTGCCCTTGGTAGAATGCCGTGGTGTCACAGCTCACAGCAACCTTCAACTCCTGGGCTTAGGCGATTCTCTTGCCTCAGCCTCCCAAGTAGCTGAGACTACAGGCACCTACCACAACACCTGGCTATTTTTTGTTGTTGTTGTTGCAGTTTGACTAGGGCCAGGTTCAAACCTGCCACCTCGGTATATGGGGCCAGTGCCCTACCTATTGAGCCACAGCCACTGCCCTATTGTGTTAGTCTTTTTTTTTTTTTTTTTTTGAGACAGAGCTTCAAGCTATCCCCCTGGGTAGAGTGCCATGGCATCACGCTCACAGCAACCTCCAAGTCCTGGGCT